ACAATAATGAGAGACAATGACATCACAGAAAAATACGACACAATAATGAGAGACAATGACATCACAGAAAAATACGACACAATAATGAGAGACAATGACGTCACAGAAAAATACGACACAATGACGTCACAGAAAAATACGACACAATAATAGTATAGTAACGGCGATTCTGTAACTCAGCGTTCGCTAAATGAGATAGGAAGACAACTCGATCAAAATTTACGTCGTTAATTAGAAACTTGGCTGACCAGTTATAAAGGGTTTCATAACCTGTTTAAATATCGGTTATGCACGAACCGGAAAGCCAGCGACGGACATTTATAATCACACACTTGCAGCTTCAATAAATACAGTTGAAATTCTTCAAACACCGTGTATAATTAACCTGAGAAGTAGAAAGAACAAGATCTCAGACACTTGTAACTTGCGGTTCGTTTCACTCTGTGTTTTGAGACATTCTTTCTTCAAGTTGCTAGAAAAATCAAAATATGCATTCATCAGTGTAATTTCTACCTGTTTAACAACAACACCGGACTTATGTGCTTGAAGTTAGATACATCACTCCCTCTTTAGTCTTTATTGAAAAAGTGGGAACTATTTTCTATAATATATACAAAAAGTACGGTGCTATCTATCTATATATATATATAGTACAAACATGGGATAATTATTACACAATAATTAAACTTGGGACATTGTGTGTTGTAAACCTGGCACATAAAACCTGCGCATTTTTATTTATAACACAAACAGTCATTAACACTGTAGCACGTGGTATTCAAAGGAGAAAATAAAGTTAGAGTAACCCCAATATCAGTGCAACTAACTACCACATTGCTTGGTTTGTTTTGCGAATTTCGCGCAAAGCTACACGAGGGCTATCTGTGCTAGCCGTCCCTAATTTAGCAGTGAAAGACTAGAGGGAAGGCGGCTAGTCAACACCACCTACAACCACCTTGATTACAACAAAATTACAGTTTCCTAAGTAGATTAATGACTAAAGAGTGGATTGGTTCTTAATCAAATGTTTTGTTTATTTGGTTAGAATATTTGCCCAAAGTCACACAGATGCTAACTACACAAGCCATCTCTAATTTTGAACCAGTAAAGCAGAGCGAAGGAAGCTAGTCAATAGGACCCACCGCAATTTTTTTTTTGGCTACTCTGATCGATAAGTGGAATTTGAATGCCACTCTTATAACGCTTTTAAGGCCTTAAACTGTGGTGCGAGCCTTTTTTTTTTATACGCTAACGGGACACGAACCTCGAATCCACAGTCCAGCACGCTAACTGTGCGATAAAACATCAATAACCCAATATTAAATAATGGACTAGTTCTCACAGTAATACAATGCGCGATATTATGATATAAGAAAAAAGTCATAATGTTTAAAGTTGTTGCCTAAATAATGAATAGTTATTCAGTTGGTTCCAAATATTATCAACATTTAACACACAATAACCACATATGTCCAACTTACAGCACAAATTTAACAGATTTTAAAAACATCATTCATATTAGGGTAAGTAGAAGGTCCAGAGTTGGTATTGTGGGTATGTATGAAGATTGAGATGAAAAACTTTGTATTTTCTGATTACTTTGAGGTCTTACTTGAAGTTTCTGCCGAAATCTGAAGATGTTATTTAATTTTTACCTTTTTCATTCAGTGTGGGTGTATTGTTGTTAATAAATCACACCACTTTCAATCTTCAGAAGTACACCACATTCAAGATTACGCCTGAAAAACTCCCACCACTTTCAATATCACATCTTCAGAAGTACACCACATTCAAGATGACGCCTGAAAAACTCCCACCACTTTCAATATCACAACTTTGAAAACGGTGTGATTTAATAAGGTGTAATGTTGAATGTGGTGTGATTTAATAAGGTGTAATGTTAAATGTGGTATGATTTAATAAGGTGTGATCTGGGATGTAAAATACTTCTCATATGTGTGAATTATTAAAATGTGATATTGAAAGTGGTGGGAGTTTTTCAGGCGTAATCTTGAATGTGGTGTACTTCTGAAGATGTGATATTGAAAGTGGTGGGAGTTTTTCAGGCGTAATATTGAATGTAGTGTACTTCGTGAAGATGTGATTATGAAAGTGGTGGGAGTTTTTCAGGCGTAATCTTGAATGTGGTGTACTTCTGAAGAACACCTTATTAAATCACACCGTTTTCAAAGTATGCCACTTTCAAGAACAAATGTTAATAAATCACACCACTTTCAAGGTCACACCTTTATGAAGCACACCACTTTTAATATTACGCCTTTTTAAATCATGACACTCGGAAGATCAAACAATATATCATCAACTTAATTCACAGTAAAATAAAAAACAAAACTTAAAACATGTTTTTTCTTCTATTACAAAATCAATTTACCGAAAGAAGGTTTGTCTATGTCATGCGCTGAGTTTAGATGAACTGAATATGTAAGATAACTAGTGAAGAGTTCAATAAAATGTATTGATCATGTGGAATTCGACAGTATCATCAACAATCGCTAATCTAGTAAATATATACACAATGTATGCTGAAGATGCCGCGTCATCTTTTCTGGTCATTGATCAATTTTGTGCCATCAGTAAACAACCGATTTACAAAACAAGTTACCATTACTGGCTTTATGAACGTGTTGTGACTGTGTACTAATTTTCATCGCGCCTAGAAACAGGAACATTAGATATTCTGCCGCCATAAAGGCCGCCGGCGAGCATTCGAATACCATTACATTGCCTGTGGTCTTTTGATTCGAGGACACCATACACTGAGCATGCGCAGTATCTGCGGGATGCTGTGTTCAGAATCTGTGGTTTTCGAGGCCACGCGCGCAAATTGTTTGGATGCCTCTAGGTGTTCATTGGTAGAGGAGAGTGAGAGACACCTGTTGCCAGTTGTTTACTCGTGTCGCTAGGAAACAGGTAGTGTTCTTCCGCGTGCTTAGTGCTCGCGCAGATTTATAAGTATTCAAAGAAGTTGCCAAATGATAAGATTGTGAATGGGTGAAAATAACACAACTAAAACAACCTTCGATAGTGAAGCGATTTTTTTTTATTTCATTGAGTTTCAGCTTTGAACGAATGGCGAGCGAATGTTTTCCTTGTTTAGCTAAATTAACCATCGACAAAAATATCGCTTAGTGGAGTCCATACAAAAACATCGCAAAGACCGTGGAGCTCAGTAGTATACACAAATACTGTAAAGACGTGGAGAAGTATTTTTCCGCTGTTGATGGTCTTACACAACAACAACAAAAAAGAAATATGTGGGTATCCAAAAACAAGTCGCCTGACGTTAGTGGGATTGGAGTATTGCACCGTGTCTTGGCGGTGACACTCTGGATAGTTGTGCCTGGATGTGCCGCTGAGGAGCTGTGCTACTCTTCCGGCGGTATTGCAGGGATCGTAATAGCCACTTTTATTGTGACCCTAGTTTTAGGTGGCGTGGTTTTAGCAATGGGTTGGTTTATCTGGAAGAAAAAATATGGTATGTATATTTTCCTTTTAAATAAAGTTTCTCTTTATTTTTAGTTACGTTGCTAAGGTAACATAAAAAGTTTCCTTTATGAACTATCCTCGGTAGCTCAGGTAAAGAAAACATTCCTTAAATAATTATGACCATGTATTATAATCTGAGCCACTTCACTACGTAATGTAGAAATACAAATAGGTCAAGCAGTATAGAGACATAACTAGCTGAAGAAGGTTATATCTTAATGTAGAAACATAACTAGCTGGAGAAGGTTATATCTTAATGCAAAGACATAACTAGCTGGAGTAGGTTATATCTTAATGCAGAGACATAACTAGCTGGAGTAGGTTATTTTTACTGTAGAGACATAACTAGCTGGAGTAGGTTATATTTTACCGTAGAGACATAACTAGCTAGAGTAGGTTATACTTTAATGTAGAGTCATAACTAGCTGTAGAAGGTTATATTTTACAGTAGAGACATAACTAGCTAGAGTAGGTTATACTTTAATGTAGACTCATAACAAGCTGTAGAAGGTTATATTCTACAGTAGAGACATAACTAGCTAGAGTAGGTTATACTTTAATGTAGAAACATAACTAGCTGGAGCAGGTTATGTTTACTGAAGAAACATAACTAGCTGGAGAAGGTTATATCTTAATGTAGAGACATAACTAGCTGGAGGAGGTTATTTTTACTGTAGAGACATAACTAGCTAGAGTAGGTTATACTTTAATGTAGAGTCATAACTAGTTGGAGCAGGTTATATTTTAATGTAGAAACATAATTAGTTGGAGCAGGTTATTTTTACTGTAGAAACATAACTAGCTGGAGCAGGTTATTTTTACTGTAGAGACATAACTAGCTGGAGTAGGTTATTTTTACTATAGATATATAACTAGCTGGAGAAGGTTATATTTTAACGTAGAGTCATAACTAGCTGGAGGAGGTTATATTTTAATGTAGAGGCACAACTAGCTGGAGCAGTTTATACTTTAATGTAGAGTCATAACTAGCTGGAGCAGGTTATATTTTAATGTAGAGACATAACTAGTTGGAGCAGGTTATTTTTACTGTAGAAACATAACTAGCTGGAGCAGGTTAAGTTTACTGTAGAGACATAACTAGCTGGAGCAGGTTATTTTTAATGTAGATATATAGTTAGCTGGAGCAGGTTATTTTTACTGTAGAGACATAACTAGCTGGAGTAGGTTATTTTTACTATAGAGATATAACTAGCTGGAGAAGGTTATATTTTAATGTAGAGTCATAACTAGCTGGAGTAGGTTATTTTTACTGTAGAGACACAACTAGCTAGAACAGGTTATATTTTAATGTAGAGTCATAACTAGCTGTATAAGGTTATTTTTACTGTAGAGAAACAACTAACTGGAGAAGGTTATTTTTATTGTAGAGACAACTAGCTAGAGTTGGTTATTTTTACTGTAAAGACACAACTAGCTAGACCAGGTTATATCTTAATGTAGAGACATAACTAGCTGGAACAGGTTATTTTTACTGTAGAGACATAACTAGCTGGTGAAGGTTATATCTTGAGTAAAGACATAACTAGCTTGAGTAGGTTATATTTTAATGTAAAGCAAAGTTTCAGATTAAACAATATACAAACGTACCTGCTGAGACTTAGCACTAACTTACCGATTGAACAATGTACAAATTAAGTGTTGAAAGTTAGAGACAAATTACTGATTGAAAAATATCAAGTTCTGTTATTGACGCTCGGACATAACGTGTTTAGATACGTACCTTTATTCTTTGTGGGAATTCAGGTTATTGAAAGAAATCGACATTCATTGTTTTTATGTAATATACGTGTTCACACATAATCAGATATATGAAGTGTTTTTAATATACGTGTTCACACATAATCAGATATATGAAGTGTTTTTAGTATACGTGTTCACACATAATCAGATATATGAAGTGTTTTTAATATATGTGTTCACACGTAATCAGATAGATGAAGTGTTTTTAATATACGTGTTCACACATAATCAGATATCTGGTGTTTTTAATATACGTGTTCACACATAATCAGATATATGAAGTGTTTTGTCTTACAGTCAAATACAGACATTCAGTTATATCCAGCATTTACACACGTTGAATAATTCGACGTACTTTGTTTGAATAGTTTACTTCAGTTACACAGAGATTCATTGAAGATTTCTTCTTCCCAAGACTCTATTCATCACCTGTATTCTATTAACATTAATTATCTCTAACTCTGAGATTATAAATGGTTCTCTACTCAACCATTCACATCTCTATACTAGCTTATTCTTTATACATCTTTACACAATCACAAATTAGCTCATTCTGTAAACATCTCTACAAAACCACACATTGGCTCATTCTGTAAACATCTCTACAAAACCACTCATTAGCTCATTCTGTAAACATCTCTATACAAGCAGACGCTAGCTAATTCTTTATACATCTTTACACAATCATAAATTAGCTCATTGTTTGTACATAACAAAACGATAGCCTATTGTCTGTACATCTACACAGCCACCAAATATATCATTCCGTACATATCGTTATACAATCATGTAACAACTCCTTCCATGTAAATCTATACACAGCCACTCACCAGTTTAATCTCTGTACATCTAAGCACAACCACACAATAGCTCACTTTGTCTACATTATCATAAGTTGGCTTAAGTCTTCCCTGGGTAAAGTCACGTACGACATCTTTATTCTTCTCGTTCATGAGAAGTTTTGAAACTACTTAGTCCCTGGGACATTCCGGAGTATTTGGTTCCACTATGCCCAAGTCACCAGATGTAGATTTATTGTGAACAAAAAGTTCCAGCGAAAGGAAAATTGAAAGTTAACTTTTTATGGGAAGCTTCTCTTCCCCTCATGACGTATATGATTGATATTGAAGAATAGTGCATATTGGGAATTGACTTCATGATAAGAATAGAAGATAAGCTAGAATTGCTCCACAGTAGATGATCAGGTAATTTCAAATTATGACAGTTTTGCAACAGATCTTGTTCTCCCAGTGACAACAGGGAAGTTGGAGATTGTTACTCCAAGAAACAAAATACTCGTTGATTAGCATATTGCAAGGCTTCCCTTCATAAAACCATGGACTCGTGAAAACTTTTCCTAAAATAATGAATTTGTTTAAATTTGAGGCAGACATAATATTACCAGCTGAATTTCGTCCCATGAATCAAGCCATTTCTTGTATTTTTGATTTCTGGTTACACCTGACCTGATTGAGACATGAGACATCCTCTGGATACTTTCTCCTCAGGATATTATTTTCCTCAGCTTAATAACAGCTGTTGATTCCTTACAGTAATGGCCATAATTCCCACAATTATGACAGTTATCTCTTTCTAGTATCTTCTTAAAGGAGTTCTTATTCCATAAAGGCTTTAACCTACAGTTCTTTGCAATATGTCCTTTCAAGATACGCCTATTTTTGTGATGTATTTCCTCCATTCTGTGTAACTAGTTGTTTAATTAATTCTTCCAGTTCTTCTACACTATCAATTGGGGGAGTTGGTGTTTCAAAGCTACAGGATCTGATATTCCCGTATTTTCTAGATGGTTCCTTTAGTAGTTTATCTGCAACTTTAAGGGAATCAAGTTCCATCGACAACTGGTGAGCTTCCTATAAAGGTACTTCTACTTCTCATATCCTCGCCTATCGTGGTATCTATAAATTGGTCACGTGCCAATGAATCCATCATTTCTCGAGAAGCATCCGGGTGAGAAAACTGGGCAAACCTTTACAAGTATTCTTTAAGTTCGGTTAAAGTTTCTTCTTTTCTCCATATCCTGTTTTGTAACTTTGTTCTGGATACTTCCTTCTGGTGTGTCACTCCAAACCTGTTGGATATGGCAGCTACTAATGTTCGATAGTTGTTATGGTTCTCAGCTAGAAGGTTACTTAATGTCATCGAAGATGATCCTTTTAAGCGAGCAGCAAGACGAATAAGTTGTTGTTCACTATTCCGCCTGTTCGCCCTCGAAGTTAGTTTGAATGATCCTGATATGCCTTTCACGGTGCTTTTCCATCATAGTTTACTAGAACTTAAATAGGGCGATATTGTTGAATTGGCCAACTAAATTGTAGAATTGGATTTGGTGATAACAAAGATGGAGTAATCCAGGAAGGTCCTGCAGTCATTCAGTAGTGTAAAGATGTGTATACCGTGTAGATTCTTCTATTCCATATTTTATACTAGATGATGATTTAAATTAAAACTCTTGAACCAATGCAGGAAGAGGTGTGGCTGGTTTAATAGTTGTTTTTAATAATTCGTTTTCCAGATGTTTTATTCTGTCACTGATGTTATTTTCTACCTCGTTAATGTTTTTCTTTACTTTGTCAGTTTTATTAAGTTTCTCTGTGCTTCTTCAGTTTTTGTTGTTGTTGTATTCTCACTGTAAATCTCCAACATCTTCATCGAAGTTGTCTTCAATCAGATTTATTTTTATTTTAAATCTTCTTTAAATAGTATGTCTCTTATCTTACGTCCTTCTTTTAATTTTCTTTTCATTCACCTCATTTTCTGCTTTTTTTTTCTTCTAGGTTTCTTCTAACTTTCCGTTTTTCTATTTTGGACTGTCTTTTAACTGTTTTATTAACTCCAATAAACTTCCAACATCGCCTCATGAGATCATCTCGAAAGTTCCAGTTTATTTTCACTGAAATAATCCCACTTCTGACATAAGTGCTGAAGCTTTGTTCTTTCGTTGAGCTGGTTATTTTAAATCATTTGGTGAGAATTATCCGATTTCAAGTCCACGTAATGATAATAGATTAGTTTCTTTCTTCTTAACGTTTTTACGGTTGCCTTCACTTCTACACTGTTGTAAGTTGTAGGCCTAAGACAAACGACATTCAAACGAAAAGACATCGTTAACGATACAACGAATAACGTAAAAATATACATACCTGTACTTTTTCTAGGCTAATTGATCCAGTAACTGAATATACGCAATAATTGATACTAATAAAAAAA